GGCGGGTGTCGGGCTGTTAGTCTGTCGGTCTGAGGAAGAAGGAGGCGGGAGGAAGGCTTATCGCCTGTCGGCCTGAGGAAGAAGGGGCTGGAAAGCGAGTACGGAGGGCCGGAGGTGGCAGGAGGCTGGCCAGAGGCGGGTGAGGAGCCCGTCGGTGCAGTGAGAAGGGCCAGACTCCGGAGGCAGATTGAGGAAGATGAGGGGGGATGAACAAGGGGTGGTTGTGTGAGGGGGCCTAGGGTTTTTTTTTTTTACTTTTGGTTTTGGGTTAGCGGGTTTGTAACTATAATTTTGGGACCCGATTATCCGAAATACTATTATATTACGGATATCCGTATCCGCAACCTTTATATCCGTTACCAAATCCGTATCCGAAAAAAATCCGAAACTAGATTCGTATCCGTTACCATATCCGCCCGGTTTTAAAATTAGTGTACTATATCCGCATCCGTTCAGATACAAATGCGGATCGGTTCGGATATATCCGAACCGTTTGGCACCCCTAGTCGAAGGTGGTGGTAATGGGTTGTCTGAGACTTGGACAGGTCGGGGTAAGGCTAGAGGAATGGCTAGCAAAGTTGCTGGGTGTTGGTTCAGGATTGGGACGGGTAGTTGTGGAGGCAAGGTGTTTGTGGGGGTAGGGGAGGTGGGAGGTGGGAGGTGGATTGGGAAGAGAGAGAGGAAGGGCGAAAGGTAATATTTGGTGTTCTCCCATATTCGTTTGTATGTTGGAGTCGATGGGCAGGGAGTCACTGGAACAAGCTTCGGATGATGTGTATGAAGCCGGGAGAATGACATGATGTGAGATCCAGGTGTCGTATGTCGACTCATCAGGGCAAGCTAGATGCGGATTGAATTTAGACATGGGAAACTCAGACTCAACAAATCGAACATGATGCGAGATGAAAGACTTTTGAGTTTGTGGATCAATACATATATAAGCACTCTGTGTAAGGGAGTAGCCAAGGAAGACACAAGACGTGGAGTGACTAGCGAGTTTGTGAGGCGAGTATGGACGAAGCCAATGATAACACAGATAGCCAAAAGTTCGAAGTTTGGAGTAGTTTGGTGGCGACTTAAAAAGTTTATGAAAGGGAGATGCCATATGAAGAGTGGGTGTAGGGAGACGATTTATGAGGTAGACTACAGTAGAGAAGGCATATGACCAAAAGGAGAGTGGTAAGATAACTTTAGAGAGAAGAGAAAGACATGTTTCAACAATATGACGATATCTTCATTCTGAAAAACCATTATGTTCTAGAGTGTGAGGTGGTGAGGTGAGATGCGAGATGCCATTTGTGGATAAATATGTCGCCAGTCACAGTAGATTTGGCGAGACTAATATATTTCCCCCCGCTGCGCCCCCCCCCCCCCCCGCTTTACTATTTTATTTTTAAAGTAATTTTCAACAAGGGCTTTGAAATGAAGAAAAATGGTGGCGACATTAGATTTACGTTTGAGAGGGTAAAGCCATATGTAGTGAGTGAAGTGATCTACGAAAATGGCGTAGTATTTGTAACCATCAACAGAATAATTAGGTGAAGTCCACACATTAGAATAAATAGTTTGTAGAGGAGAAGTAGACACAATTGATGATTGAGAGAAAGATGGTTTATGACTTTTATTGCAAAGACAGTCATTACAATGAGATTGCTTTGAATTAAACAAATCTAAAGCTAGACCAAATTTAGAGATGATATGACGTTGGATTGACTCGGATGGGTGACCAAGATGATGATGCCCGTCACTAGAAGACACTTTGACACTAGAGTGGGTTGAAGGACAAGGTGCGAGTTGTGAGGTCGGTCATTCATACACATCATCCTTAGGTTGTCCTTCTAACAGTGTTGCCCCTGATAGTAGATCCTTCCCACAAAAGGAAGATGGTAAGAACTCAATAGACATATTATTTGATTTGCAAAATTGAGATATGGAAATAAGATTTCTTTTCATGTTAGGAACAAATAAAATATCATGTAATCTAAATGTATGGGAGGATGCTTTAAGAGAAGAGGAGCTAATTTTGGAAATGTGTAACTCAGTACCAGCACCGATAATAATGTCGTCATACCCATCGTATGGAGCATGAAGGGAGAGGTTGTCGAGATCGGTTGTGACATGGTAGGATGCCCCATTGTCGAGAAGCCATATTGGGATTTCGACATCTGATGATGTGGCAACATGCACCTTTGGTTGCCACTGAGATCCAGTGTGCGAGGTGCGAGGGACACCTTGCGAGGAGGCGGGTACCAGCTGAAAGAGAGGATACTGAGCGACGGTGTGGCCTTGTTGTCGACATCCTTAACACTTGTCGAGATACGACCTCTGCTGGTGAGACGCGGCTTGCGGAACTAAGACGACTGTCATCTTGGAGCGGGGTGTAAAGATTGCGCCTTGTTGGACGTGGAGCGATTTGAACTATTGTACCTGGTCGACGCAACGTTAGCCGTAACGGGGTGCGGGTTGAGCGGATTGAGACTACTGAAGCGCGAGTTCCATGTTGATGAGTTTCTCATGAAGCTCGTCAAACGAGATGGAGTTGTCCCTACCTTCCACTATATCAGCGATTTGGCGATAGTCATCATCGAGACCTTCTAAGATTTTCTCAATGATGTCCTCATGGTCCATTGGTTTGCCGAGTGCAGCGAGGCGATCAGTTCGGCACTTGACATATTGCATATAATCTGAAACGGATTGTGATCCCTTCGTGGCTCGCTTGATCTGGTTCTTGATTTGCTTGATGTGACCACGTGTAGGGCGAGCATAGCCTGTTGGATGAGAGGGATGAGAGAGAGGGAAATTGAACCGACAAGGGCGTCAAACAGCAGTTTGTTTTGTCGAGCCCAATGCAGAAAATCTGGGTTGGGAGCTTTAACATTGTTGGTGGTGATGGTGCGAGGAGGACATGGATGAGATCCATCTATGTAGTTGTAGAGGTCATAGCCGATGAGAATGACCTTAATCTGGAGTTTCCAAGCAATATAATTTGTGAAGGTCAATTTATGGATGGATTGATGGGAAGTGGATGAGTTGAAGGTTTTTGGTTGGATTTTCTGGGTTGGGGATGATAGTGATCTGAGAATCAGTCGTCATAGTGAAGACTGCGACTAGGGTTTGCAAAGGAGTAGTGGGAGGAGGTCTAGAACGGGAGGTCTAGAACGGCTCTAATACCATGTAAAAGTATTAAAATTGATGAATAATGGCATAGCCTTTTTCATTGATATTAGGAGATATTTATAGGATTACAAGAGAATCAATTAGTTTTTTTCATTGATATTAGGAGATATTTATAGGATTACAAGAGAATCAATTAGTTACATAAAATCTAAAACTACCTAATTAGTTACATAATTGTTGGAACTAAAAGGGGTAAGTGAGCTATCAAGATATTAACAGAATATCATACAATAGGAAAGAATCACAGGGCGGTGTCGACTGATACCGCAGGACGTGTCGACTAAGACCGCCTTTGGTGTCGACTCAAAGGGTGTCGTCTCGTCTGAACTCGTCTCGTCTTGTCTCGTGTCGTCAGAGCGTGTCGGCTGACACCGTAGGACGTGTCGACTAAGACCGTCTTTCGTGTCGACACAAGGGGTGTCGTCTTGTCTGAACTCGTCTCGTTTAGCCTCGTCAGAGCGTGACGACTGACACCGTAGGGCGTGTAGACTAAGACCGTCTTTCGTGTTGACACAAGGGGTGTCGTCTCGTCTGGACTTGTCTCGTCTCGTGTCGTCTAGTCTCGTCTTGTCTGGTTGCAATTCCTTAATACTCCATTACGACTGCTCACAGTGACATGACACACATCCAAAATCCCGCAGAGCAAATTGTCAATATATCCATATTATAGCGGATGCAGCATGTCAACAACACACTAGCCAAAAGCGCAGATACGCACCAACCGATATTCTATGTTGTTTGCACTACACTTTTAGCGTACCTAGAATTTAGCTGGGATCTTACAAACGTGATACAGCGAGACTTATTTCACTTGACAAAGGGAGTTCATCTGATCCATGCCATAATAGTAAATAATAAATACATATTGACTGGGCAAAAGAGTATGGTAAACTACCCAAGAATCAAAGTTACTCCAATATCCTGCTAACAAAACCTTGGAGTGAACCAAGTAGATAGCTCCAAGGCGTTAATCTCTCACGTATCATTTTAACGAGGGAGCGTCTTAATACTTCAATATCATAAGCCCCAATTCCTTTCGACCAAGAACGGAACTAGATTACAACACAGAATATATACTATCACCTCTACATCCAATTGCATCAGTTATAACAGCAGTGTGATGTCTGCCCGGACACAAAATAAACCTTGTGCTCCCAATTGTGCCCAAAATAAAAACTACAAAAAAACCTGCGACTGTCACTGGGATCTAGCATCGTATAGCAGAGTACGCTTTTTACATCCAAGAGAGAAAACTTACATCTGAAATTCACCTAATTATCCCACTAAAATATCCCGCTAATAAAAAATAATTTTACTTTTAATTATCCCACTAAAATATCCCGCTAATAAAAAATAATTTTACTTTTAACAATTATCTTAGTTCGCATGAAAACATCCCCATTCATTACTCCCCTCTGAATGATCTTTCCCTCTTAAAAGGCAACTAAATATGTTCTAGATTTGCTCCAATCACTTCGTATTAACCGTACAAGCACGAGCTCCACTTGCGACGGAGTTTATGGTTTTCCAGCTGCATTCAAATAAGACAATCCACACTGTAACCAGATGTTACCAGATTTTTGTCTACCAATCAGCTGACAATAGCCCACAAAATCTTAATCCTTCCAGATTGTCTGATTAAAAGGTTTTTAGTTTTGAATTTACAAATGCAGTTCTATGGTCATAACTGAAACACTCTGTTTTCGTGCTGTTTTTTGAGAGAGCCAAGTAAAACACAAACAAACTGCAGTGAAATACGAAAAACAGGCTATTGAGAGATGCAGTTCTTATCAAAATCCTAAAATTTACAGAAGGCAAGCAAATAATTTGTACGCCCTTCCAAAATGGAAAACCAGTTTATAAATCTGGGTGGAGGGCAAATAATTCAGAATTCTCAAGCAAATAAAAAAATTTGCCGTCTTCAGCCAAGAATCGAGTTTAGCGGGTGTACAATTCCCATAGCGCAAACTTACTGAATAGGATACCTAAATGTTGTTCAATAACTGCAACTAGGGTCTACAATGGTGACCCTTGGACTGATGAAGACCAGGCAGTCAAAAGGTTTAGGACCAGTTTCAACTATGTAATGAAAAGCCTACAACAGATGCACACAACATATACAAAATACAACGCATACACCAGATACAACAATAGCATCTTGCTCTGTCACTACGAGGGCAGAGCTGCTTCTACAGTATTTTAAGAAGCATGGTAAAACTCAAAAGAAGGAAGATCAATAATGTATGTACATCAAGAGGACCGTGCACCATTGAGTTGTTATAATCCTCACGACTGCTTCATGGCTTTTGCAAGTGAAGGACGTCTGAAATGTGAATAGAGGTTAAGGTCAAACTTTATGCTGTTAAGCTGCCCTGGATGCGTTTCAACCTTGGACATACAACACGCAATTTGTCCAAGCATGCAGCATGTATCTGCTCAACAAGGCACATATAGATTAGCGTAAAAGAGTTAAAACTCTAGAGGTCAAGTGGCTATATATATATGTATTTGTACAGATGATATTATTACAAGAAACTTTATAAAAAATGATCATCCCTTGTGATAAATCTTGCACTGGCATCAAATAGAAAACAAAAAATAATCTGTACTGCTTTATAAAACAAGAAAATACTTCATAGCTGACTATTCAAATATTAAAATAATAATTACGTAATTGAAATCATTTCCAGAAAGGATGTGTCATGTTCTCAAAAGAAAAATATTACGCCTCATCCAAAATGAATTCCAGATGGAAAGAAATGTTACTCAACACCCTGATGAATCATCAACTATCTGAACTAGGTAAACCTCAATTGCATTTACATGTTTAATAGTTCATTAAATGTGTGCATGAAAATAGCTCCAAACTTTGTGACAGCCCCATGTTTTGAGGTTTAATTAAGGATCACGATAACCCGTCATGTGTTACTTCCAATGCCAGAAGATATGTTTACCAAGGTTTTTGAGATATAGGGATGCTAAAGAAATCTAATTTCCTCATGAATTTTATCGTGATTTGGGATCCTTCGACTCAAGTTTATATCAGTTTTGCTGAGAGCAACCCCCCCTTTTTCACCTCGAGTGGTCAAATACTATTTTTGTGCCCGATTTCATCACTGGACAACTCCCTGCCTGGGTACTTCTGCCAGTTCTAGTTCTGTTTTTCATGTTGGTTCTTTCTGACTCTATGCCTATACCTGCTTCAGTTAAACGCTGGGTGAAAATGAAAGGTCATAAACACAAGGGGCTGAAGAAATGTATTCAATGGTGCGGTCCTAAATTGCTGTGGTTGTCTTTTTTCAATAAGAACAGTTACATTTCTCTATGTTATTTGTGTTTGGACTCCAAGCATGCTGATCCAATCATATCAGAACTGCATGATACCTCTCTGATATTGGCTGCAAATGGCGAACACAGGTTGATATTAGCCAACAATAACTAATGCATGAAGATCTGATTTAAAATATCAAAAGTTGAATTGACAGTATTTTATATTGGGAATTTTTTTTTAAGTATTGATTTATTCTATGTACCGAGAATTGTAATCTCAAATTGATGAAACCATGGAAACTCCCAATACCAACATCAGTAAAGGTAAACAGAAAACCAAGACTGATGCTGTGGTTTCAAACCTTGATTCCCATTATAAAATAAAAAGTACATTTTCAGCAAAAAGATAAAAGCTTGAAATGTGAACGCAACAGTATGGATCATTACGTATCTCTCTATATTTAGTGTCTCATTACTTTATACAATATTTAGGAGTAACTAAATATTTAATAGTTTGTTCATTTATAAGCACACATAAACATAATCTACACAGCCAGACATAGCATAATGATAAAAGTTTCCGCATTCTCTTGTAGTTTATGGCACCAAAGTGATCAGTCTAATAACAAACTTATCCATATAAATATTATAACACAAATGTCTCAAGGCTTCATCAACCCTCCACTCACAAATTGGTCAATCAATACCCGAAATGCATTTTTTAACATGTATAATGAATCATGACAGTAACACCTCTGAATGTTTTTCCTCAAAATAATTTAACGAACATAAAATGGTTTATGATCTTGCTAACACATGCACTTTCATAATCCAGAATGACTATAACTGCAATAATACTCACCTTAGGGCATGAATGAATATTGAGAGTTTCCAACATCTTACAGCGAGAAATGGCGACTTCTACTGCCTCCTCTGATAGTATTGTACAAGCCTGTGGGCCACATAGACAAAAAAAATATAAGATACAGGAAATAGATCCTGAAGTTTACTTTTGAAACATCTAAACTACCGTACGACAACATAGTTAGTATTCGTAGAAACGGCCTGCACTAATATCTTCAATATGCAAAGTGATTTTTGAACTAACATCCCTTGAAGGATTCGAGGCCAATCTTATATGTGAACTGAGCTGGATAATCTTCTGAGCTAACCAAACATACAACACAATTTGTTGTGTCCAAAGAAATTTTCGCAAGAAATTGTATTCATAATGGCCACGTGTTTAAAGACAAATGTCATATCGGACAAGATACTACGCAACTTTTCAGACTGTTATACACTGTGTCGTGTGTGTTGTGACTCTGTCAGCATATCAATGTCTGTGCAGCATAGTCCATTTCCAATGCAATCCGCCTTTGCTAAAAAACTGGGTATGAGATGCCAGGTAAATTCTGATCTAAAAACACTATTCTTTTTTGGCAAAGCTTCCTCACAGGGAGAGAACCAGGGGGAAGCCAGCCAAAGGAAATACAATTGGAGACATGTAGCAAACTCAAATTTAAATTCCTCTGGCATAAACCAAATATTATGACAGGGAAGTCCACAATACATTACATATTATACTTAGTAGTATCAGTTATGTAATTACCAGAAGCTGAAGATTAGTCAATCTGGGACAATCAAGCTTCAAGATCTCCAAGGAACAACAGTTGCTGAACAGAAAAAAGGAATTAACAAACAAGCAAGTAGTGCTAATAGTTATCCCAGGAGGGAAAATTTTATGACAAACTACGCAATCTATGACGGAAGCAAACCTCAAGTTTAGACTATTAAGATTGAAGCATGCTAGATCCACTTCCTTCAGATTAGCAGACAAATTAAGGTTTAATTTAGATAGATGAAAACAACAAGCTGAAGAAGTGATTGCAACTTTCTTAATGTTGGGACATCCAATGCAGTTGAGAATTTCAAGCAAATGATCAGTCTTCCTGAAAACCTGCTCCTCACTTCCCATAAATACCGAATTTGATGGATAGATATCAACAGCCATGTCAGAGTGATGACTATCACTTGAACACCAAACAAGATCGTGCATATTGGAACAACCATTTAAGTTCACATTGACAAGATTTGCGCAACATGCAAGAAGTCCTAGTATTGCAGACTGCCCAATGGAAGAATAAGATAAATCCAACTCACAAAGGGCAGGAAGAGCACCCTCCTTATAAAGTGCGTCCAAAGAAGAGTCTGTCAAGAACTTGCACGCTGAAAGTTTTAATATCTGCATGCAGAAAAAGAACAGTAAAATACTTGTCACTGAAAGTCTAAGAACAGGTTTTGTTGATAAAATAAACCAAATCTCATCTTTCAAGATAAGCCCGACCTTTAGATGTTCCAATTCTATGTTTTTAGCACTAAGCAAACTTTCTGTTGCCCAAAAGGTTACCATCAAATAGAAAGCGGATGTTCATTCCATAATATTAGAAAAAGAGAAATAACAAGAGGCAATTTGATCAGGCCTCTTTTAATGCAATACTTTGTTCAGAAACCAACCAACCCCAATTAAATAGTTCATTTGGTTCAGCCCCTTCTCAAAGGGGCCAATTGCATGCATACACGCGCGTCGCACATATATATATGTACCATTTTTATGTTTCTTTTATTATGTGGATTATAAATTGTATAACAGCTTGTTTTTGAACTAGACACCCAAACCGCTCATTAGAATCATAGTTCGGAATCCAACAAGTTTCAAGAAATAAATGTGAAGCATAGAATATATGTCCTAGAAATTATAACATCAAAATTAAAACATGTATTTTTTAATTGAGCACATGCCCCGTAAATGTATGCAGATACGCAAGGAGCATCGAAGGAGTTTGGGTACAAATACGGGTACAGGCACCTGTCAGGTACGACTTCAGACAGAAGTACACAGGTAACATAGGGCAAAGATAATCAAAGTATTCTCACCATCATAAACTTGAAATATGTTTTAACTCGCATATATCATGTGATACCATTAATGGAGGTAATAATCGAGAGTAATGGAGGATTTTGGGTGTGAAGGACAGGCAGGCTTTTTTCTGCATTTTTGGGGTGCAGATGGGAGGTTTGGGTTGTGGCACAGTTGGAAGGACAGGCAGGCATCAAGCACAGACCAAGACTAAGCAAGGTGTATAGGCATTAAACACAGACCCTCGATGCATGTTCGGAGTTTCAATGTAGTGGAAGGAAGACTTTAAAATGCCATCAGATACAACCCGGTTCATATCCCACCGGACAGGCATTTAAAGCGGATTTTAAAGAAATAGATCACTGTGTAAAATAGTCCACAGGTTTCAACCCACGAAAAGGGCCCTCAAACCGTGAGGTTATGTCGGATTATGAGCATGTTTGGCAACTTAGATTATAATCCACTTGACTTATAATCCACAAATGGATTATAAGCTTTGTGGATTATAAGCCAAAGTGTTTGGTGATTTGTGGGTTATAAGCCAAAGTGTTTGGTAATGTAGTAGATCATAATACATTTTTAATTGTAGAGTGTTTGGCAAATGGGTGGCTTATAAGCCATCATTGTTGTCAAAATAACCAAAAAGCATTGAATGAGGTTGGAGAGAGATAAATATGGTTGGAATTTTGAGAAATGTGAGAGGTAAATTGTACTTTTACTTGGTCAAATCTTATGGCTAATAAGCCACCAAAAAATAAGCTAGAATACCCTAGCTTATTTTTTAGAGGCTTATAATCCAAAATAAGCCATCTTGACCACTTGCCAAATGTGTTATAACCCTCGACCCTCATTACAACTTCAGAATTTTCGTATAGCAGAAAAAAATAACCTCTAAATCATCCATCCAAAGAGGGAAAAAAGTGCTTACAACAGCAAAATTATGATTCATATAAAGAATTAAAATAAGGTTTACTAGAGCTATAGATCTTGCAAATACATCGAAAGCATAACAAGAGCAACCAAGAACACGAGCAACTTGAAAAACGAATAAAACCAAATAAACAGATGGTTTAAACTGAGCAAGCATAATATATCAAAAACATAGAGGTTTCTAATTGACGATAACAAACAGCTAAAGGGTGACAATGAAATGCAACTACAGTAATCTTATCATAATGAATCATAATAGAGATCAAGCAGAAAGTTAAATCAGCTCAAGCTCAACATATATAAGTATATAACCTTCAGAAGCAAAAGAAAAAAAAAAAGAGTAATGTTAGCATCCACCAAATCGAAATCTAGTGAACTCACCGTTAGCTGAGGACAACTGTCAAAGACAGGCTGTAAATTAGTCAAAAATGTGTATGACAAATCAAGTAGTATCAGATATTTTAGTGAACGCAAGGAAGAAAGCCCAGCAACTCCTATGGATAAACACGAGGACAATACTAGAGATTTGATTAGGGGACAAGAAGCTGAAGCCCTAGCCAATGAATCATCCAAGAGTTGCCTGTACAAGCAAAAAAATATAAACTAAACTAAGTATGCTGTACGTGAAACAAAAACTAAACAAACATGCAAAGAAAAAATATAACCTGCAGAAAGAAGCATCCAAAGACATCAAGGAAGGGCAACTTAGGGACGCTTGAGCCAATATGCCACAACCCTTTAGCTCCAAAACTGCCATTTTCGGTGCTTCAATTCGTAAGGCACTCAGCTTAGGGCAAATTCCTAAATTAAGGGACTCAAGGCCAACCTAGAGGAAAATGAGACGATCAGACTATACTGAAAGCTAACAGATTATAATACTTTCAAGTTAAAAGTGAAATAGAATATATACTTGATAATGAAATGTAGAGAGCATCATATAATAAGGTACACAGATAATTGCAAGGCAAATGGTAATAAATAATGCATGAAGAAATGCAAAAGAGCACTGAGCACCTGCCAAAGTACACAAATATTCCAGCAGTTAAGAAAAGGTTCTATCTTGAACAATGTAAGATGTAATTCCTAGCAGTAATACTATATAAGATGGTCATCCACACTACGTCAGACACCATGGTTTCTAAGAAAGATTTAGTAAAGAAGCTACAATGTCTTTGGCCTCTGAGTTCTGTGAAATTAATTATAGTTTCAACAATACAAGAGGAACACAGCTTTCCATTGTGATAAACATGAAGACATCAACAGGCAAGAACTTAAAACGGTTGAAGAAAACAAATAACTCAGATATGAATGGATAAGGATACCTATTACAAGGATTAGGTATTGTGTAAATAATAATAGGAATATTGATAATAATTAATATATGTTTATTTGACAATCTCACTATGTCAGACACCATGATTTCTGGGGAAGATTTAGTAAAGAAGCTACAAAAAATTTGCTTCCAAGTTCTGTGAAGTTAATTATAGTTTCAACAATACAAGAACACAGCTTTCGATTGTGATAAGCATGAAGACATTAATAGGAAAGATACTGTTATAGCCTGCAAATAACAAATAACTAAGTAAATCTTTCTTGAGTTGTTGACATGTGTCCCACTCCACGGCAAATCAGACATGATCAGAGCCCAGACGACTCGAACTGCTACTGCTACTGCGACTGACTCCATAAGCCGGCAACTTACATGGCTGACTCGAGATGTAGTACTTGTCGACCTACCTATCAGATCAAGCCCATAAGCCTCCACACTCCACCCACTATCTCAACTGACAACTCTCGAGGCCGAGTAAAAAAGCGGTGTTAATCGGCCCTCCAACAAATGACTAAAGAGGCTGTACTTCTCGCCCTTCTCGTAATGAGTCGTTCCTGCTCGACAAGCAGCCCGACTTGTCCCTTCTCGTCAGGCCGAGTCGAAAGATGGTCTTCCTCGAGCCCCCCGCCAACAGTCAGTCACCATCATATTAAATGGACGATCAAAGTCATCATTGCTCTAGCCCACATAGTCTTTATAACTCATCAGAACCGGTTAAAATTGTTGTCGCTTTGCACTAATCACCTAGATTACCATCTTCGTTAGCAGCCGACACTTGTCAGCTGTTTGTCGAGTCAGCTATCTGACTGTCTGACTAGACTCGGCCACAGTTACGTATTTACTCCTCAGCTGGGTATACATAGGAGCTCATTGCGAACTGGGGGAGGGACCAGAGGAAGCTCCGAGGGGGCCACAGGTATGCAACTTCTACACACTTAGAACTATTTTTAATTCATTGATATCTCCTCCACTCAAGCTCAAATACTAACTTGGCTGTCGGAGGAACCACTGGAGAACCTAACTCCGGTCCCCTAACGAGTGTTATTGTGCAGCTCTCTTATACAGACAGGAGACCAGTCTTCAAAAAGAGATGAGGGAACCCACATCACTCATATCGACCTTAAGCCCCGTGCTAAACTCGAGATTACTCGCTAATCTCGCTGTTAGGTCTCAGCACATCAATAGTTTGGCACCTACCATGGGGCCGCTTCATTTCCCTTTTACAAAAGAACGGACAACCTCTTATGCTCAAATCTTGTAAATAAGAAGCTATCATTCTGATAGACTAAAATGACAAGATTACCACGAACATTTTGGGGACTACCTCTCTAAGATATGGGTATCGTTATTCCTTTTATAAATAAGAGATATTTTTATGCTGCGTACTAACCTATACACAGCATTCGCCGTTGGATCTCTATCGACTCAGCACACTTCTGCCACTAATCCTGACATCATTCTCATGTCTATGTCCAGAGTACATAGCACTCCCCAAGGAAATAAATTAAATATACTATCTTTAAAATAAGCTATTCCTTGTGCCATGTACCTATGTGCAGATGTCGGCTTCGACAAAAGACCTTGATACTTTTTCAAGATAAAATCAAGGCACGCCATCGATGAAAGACCTTGGTACCTTTTTAGGATAAAACCAAGGCACGTCAACTCAATCTATTTCGACAAAAAAGATCTTGGCATCTTCCTAAGCCCAAGGCACGTACCCTAAGACCTTAGTCTCATTGCAAGTAAATCCAAAGCACTAATCTAAGTCATCTCAATCCAAAAAACCAATGAATACTCAAAAGTACACGGTTTAAATTAATAAAGACAAATATTTGCGTCTAAAATGTTTGCAGCAAGATATTCACATCTTCCTAAACCCAAGACATGTACCCTAAGACCTTGGTGTCATCGCGAATAAACCCTAGGTAAGAGGTAAAGTAGCACTACTCCCTACACACGAGGCCGAGTCATCTCGACCCGAAGGACCATCTGGTACCCAAAGATATGCAGTTCAAATTAACAAAAACAAAAATATTTCTATCTAAAAATATCTACAGCAAAACATTGGCGCATTTATAAGCCCAAGGCATGCATTTTAGAACCTTGCGATCATATTCAATAAACAAAGTATGAGGTCGAGTTACCATATTCACCATAACGGCTAATTCGCCTCGACTCTATAGCAAACATGGACTCAAACAAAGCAGAAGACAAATGCAAGCAAGAAAGATGCAAAAATCGAGAAGGCAAAAATCTGATTTTTTTTTCAACTTTCATCTGTACTCGGCCAGCCGAGTTTTCAAGTGAAAGGGGGTCACTTATAGCCTGCAAATAACTAAGTGAATCTTTCTTGAGTTGTCAACACACGTTCTACTCCACACCAGATCAGACATGATCAGAGCCCAGACGACTCGAACCACTACTGTAGCCGACTATATAATATGACAACTTACATGGCCGACTTGAAAGGTGGTACTTGTCGTCTTACCTATCAGATCGAGCCCACAAGCCTCCACACTCTACCCACTATCTTAACCAACAACTCTCGATGGCGAGTAAAAAAACGGTGTTAGTCGGCCCTCCACTAGACGACTGAAGAGGCAGTACTTCTCGCCCTTCTCGCAAGGAGTCGTCTCTGCTCGACAGGCAACCCAACTAGTCCATTCCCGCCAAGTCGAGTCAAAAGGCAAACGTCCTCGAGCCCCCCACTAATAGCCAATCACCATCACATTAAAAATGCACGATCAAAATCATCATTGCTCTAGCCCTCATAGTCCTTATGACTCATCAAACCCGATTAGCACCAAGCAATTGTTATCGCTTTGCACTAACCACCCAGATGACAATTTTTGCCAATCTGTTAGGTGTCTGTCGAGTCAGCTGCCTGTCTGGACTAAGCCACAACTCGGTCATAGTTACATATTTACCCCTCAGGTGGGTATATATAAGGGCCCATTGCCTACTAGCAGAGGGGACTGGGGAGAGGGACCAAAGGAAGACCCAGGGGGGCACAGGTATGCGACTTTTGCATACTTAGAACTATTTTCAACTCATTGATATCTCCTCCACTTAAGCTCAAATACTGACTTGACCGTCGGAGAAACCAACTTTGGTCCTCTAACAAGTGTTATTGTGTAACTTTCTTATACAGACAGGGGACCGATCTTCAAAAAGCGATGAGAGAACCCACATCACTCGTATCAACCTTAAGTCCCTTGCTAAACTCGCGATTACCCGCTAATCTCGTTGTTGAGTCCCAGGACATCAACAGATACCTATTACAAGGATTAGGTGGTGTAAATAATAATAAGAGTATTGTCAATAATTAATATGTGTTTATTTGATAATCAAGCTGTTATGCATAAATGTAAATTAAAAAATTAACATTAGGTTAATATTTTCTCCTATTCCTCCAGGATGAAAGAGAAATGTAGCTCCACTCAGTCTTTGAATTTATTATTAAGAATATTATGAAATACTACAATTAGAATGGAAAATTGGTCCCGTTTGAAACGATTCTTAGGATCTCAAATGTGCCTTCTGCATAACTCTTTTTTGCTTCTATCTCACACCAATGTATACAGACTTCGGCAACTGCAAAAGAAGTTTAATTTAAGCAAAAAAGATTGAGACCCATGTTTGAATGGGAAAGATAACATTATAATGTAAAATGTCAATAAAAATAATAAAATATATCCATGTAATACAGATCAAATCTCCCAACCAAAAACCTAGCCCCAAATAAGTTAAACCATGACAAACGGTAAACTTTAAAGGCAATAAAATGGTAACAATTATTTTCCGATTTTATGAAATTGAACAAACTGCACAAAGAAGAGTACTCTGGGATTTTAATTAATCAATAAAATGATGTCAGCTTAACTTACAGGACAGAATGAAGCTCTCTCTAGATGATCACAACCATCAAGGTTCACTGTTAGAAGATTAGGACATGACAGATCAAGGACAGTCATTGCACGACAACCAACTAGAGAAAGATTAACCAGAGAACTACTGGTTAACCCCACTGCAGTTAAACTCTGTTGAAAAGGGGGAAAAGAAAAAAATATAAGTATTCAGTATTCATCAAAAGTTCCATGGAAAAGACATCATCACATGAACTCGTACAAAAGTCATAAGCACAATTGTATTCTTCTGTATAATGCGTTCAAAGAAAATCAGCGAAGTACAGGCAGATCCTTAATATGCTATTAATGTCTGTCTCTAATAATAACTGAGATCAAGGAAGTGTTGATGCCTATAGACTTTTTAGCTGCATAGGAACTAAAACCTCTGCACATGGTGAGAACTAAAAAAGCCATGCCACATAACAGATTTCAGAAGATATGAATAATCAACGAGACAAAAAATTATACAACTTATTCCATGACAATGCACCCAAAAAATCAGTACCTACATGCATTTATGAAAGTCAACCTGATAAATTAGCATCTTGAAATGAGTTCAACAGTTTATCTAGCAAAATAATAATTCAAGTACATGTAATTACAATTTGTAAGGTTATCCCATATAAGATGATGATTACAAGCATCATGATTGAAATTGATGCATGACCACCACAAAAATGTAGAAACGTGATATTAGTCTGACACGGAAACAGAATCTAAGGTAATTAACTTCTCTGAATATACAGGACTTTGACAGGTGCCTTCCTCTTGAACTTTGCATGGTAAAAGGTCAGTAGTCATTTTCAGCTTTGATGCCAATTTCTCCGAAGTAATAGAGACCGCACCAGGAGAAGGGTTTCTGGTAGGCATTTGGGATGTTGGGCCAATCAGGTGTCTTCATTCAAGAGACGGTATAGAGAATAAACAAAAAAAAGTGAGATGTCAGAGGGCAAAGGAAAGAGTTGTGTTGCCAAAGATCAATATCATCATCATCAGGCAAAAAGTCACTAGGACAAACATTGGCATCAGAACAACTATATAACTATATTATCTCCATTTCAAAAGATTGAAGCAATACGAGTCTAATGATCAGCACACACCAACAAGAAAAAATTAATAATGATAATACGAACTTCCCAGATTTGGTTTAACCTTTACGTAAAAGGTCAATTAGTATTACTCTTCGGCTCTTCAATCAGTGAAGTTTTATAGAGTAAACCTAAGACAAGTTCTAATTTTGATGTTCCACAAGAATGCCAGTACTGATGCAAAGAACTCTTGACGAACATAAGTTCTCGTGAAGTTAAAGAGTACAAAAGAAAGTATCTATCTGCATACGTATAAATCTGATAGATTAACACAATCGAAATAGAAGCAACAAACCTCACAATTGTCAAGAACCAGCGTTCTGAGCAATGAACAGCCTCCACCATTGCTAAAAACTTCACAGATAGCATTGGTTAAAGATTCACAATCACTAAGATCCACTTCTTGCAAGTTGGGGCATTGCAATAACAGGGTGGACAGGCTTTCCTGCTTTTGAAGCACGAGTTTCTACAGTAAAAGACAAACTTTTCAAACCAATCGTTAAAGAGCAAAAAAATAATTTTGCAAAAGGTAGTCAATGGATTAAAGCTGACCTGGAGTGCATGTGATGTGATATTAATGCGGATGAGTGCTGAACAATTTGAAACCTTGATACACGAAAGTACAGAACTCCGTAGATCCAAATCTACAAACCTGGACGCAAAGGATTCAAGCATATTATACTTCTTCCAAAGGAGATGGGGCTACACAATTGGGAGGTAAAGAGACTTACTTGCGACAATGTACAAGACTGATATTTCGCAAGTGTGGTAGATCCAAAGAGACAGATGTTAACAGTCCACAGTTAACAAGCTGTAATGACTGAGCCCATAACAAAAGCAAAACAAAATAACATATAATTTAGCAACAGCTGCCAAGAAGCAAGAGTATCCAATTTAGAGAGCAAGGACAAACCTCTGACCTCTAGCATGCGGCTATAAGATACTGCAGACATTGAAGTTGAAGTTATACCCTCGCAGCTATGAAGTTTCAGATCAATCAACATCGGTAACCTTACAGCCTACCACCATGATTTATAACCGTGTGAGTTAACTTACTTAGAATACAGGTGCTTGCAAGACGGCAATTAAATAAATAGGAATTCACAAGGACAAACCTCAAGGGCAACGTTCGGACAATATGATGCATCAAGAACACAGAGATTAGGGCAAGCGAAAGCTATTTCTCGAAGAGTTTCATCGCTTACACATGAACAAGATGACATGTCCAACGATGCCAATAAAGGGCAGGAAGTAGCTGCTGAACGGATTCCAGCATCAGATAGCTTGTGGCAAGAAGACAAATCTAATTCATGTAGTTGTGGGCAAATAAGCACCACATGAGCCATGCTAGTGCGCCTCAGTGACAAAGTCTGAAGTTGAGGGCATCTGTTAATTATCACAAGCTTTAAAGTTGGTTAGTGCCGTCTTACTAAAGAAGAATTCTATGCCACAAATTTTAGAAGTATCCACCTGACAGAAATGCGGAGAACACGACATTTAAGAATATCAAGCTCGCGTAACCGATCATGATATATAGCAATCTCTTGGATGCCATTACCAAGTGATGCATCACAGATGCTCAATTTATTCAATGCAGGACAATCTGTCAAAGCATGGAAGAAATTATCGCCAAGCTGCCCTTTCCCCAATGTCAGAGTTTCAAGTAGTCTGAAAGTTGATACAGCACATAAAGAAAGCTTGTAGGTAAAAAGATTAGATTGATTTCAAAAAAGATATTAAATGAAGATAAACAATTAGATGATGTGTGAAACCTAAGAGAAGCCATGGCCTCCATGGCAAGCATATCGGAGTTATAGACGCCGGATAAATTCACTTCATTTGCATTTGGATAACGATGACAAATAGCCTCAACTGCAAAATCCAACCAAGCGGTAAATAAATTAAGACAATCCTATAATCTGTGAAAGCAGTAAAAAAAAGTATTCAGGATTCTACAGTCATGCTGGTGCTGGTTAATATATCATAATGCAAAGAAATATAGTCTTGAACAGGTAGGTAAACCAGATGACTTGGAGAAGCACATGTCAATATATAGAATCATATTTATCTCATTGATGAAAAAAATGGAAAGCTGCAGCTAATCCGAATAAACTAGACTAGCAAACAATTTATATTTATGACGCAGAATTGGTAGGTATGCATTGATTATCCATTAATTATATACTCATCTGAATACGCCAGCAAACAATTACCTTGTATCTCTTTCCTTTTATATTCCTTTTATACTTTCTCTGCATCTTTCTGAAATCTGAACTACAGGAGGGGCTAATTCTTTAAAAAACCTCTACGTTCTCCAACTAATCAAACTACATGTGACTTTATCCTCTTCATTACTACTTCAGATATTAGCAATCTCTCTCTCTCTCTCTCTCTCTACATGTGACTTTATCCTCTTCATTACTACTTCAGATATTAGCAATCTCTCTCTCTCTCTCTCTCTCTCTCTCTCTCTCTCTCTCTCTCTCTGCTTATTACTGACCAGTATCATTAGCCCAAAAATAAAGCTACTCTCCATTTTAAAGCATTTTTTACATGGTTGGAACCCAAATCCTTTAGATAGATCAGTAAGGATCCATTTAGCATTAGCTAAACAATTAGAAGTAGAGCTCAGATGAAACCCAGGAAGGGGGAAAAAACCCTTTGGAAAGGAAGCATCACAAGAGGGAAAAAATATACAAAGAAACAGGAATTTGGCCTTCAACCCCAGACCCACAAAGAAAAGAAAAAATAAGCCAAAACCCACAGAACAAGGAAAAAGGGAAGAAATGTCCCAGTTAGCAAACACCAAAAATACAAAGTGAATTGCTTTCATCTGAGTCTCACAAAAAATAAAGGAAATAAAAAATCATTAATGTATGCCAACTTGTGCTAAAAGCAACCAGATACTAGCCCATGAGCTATAAAGGGTTAAATTCAACTAATTAATTGTGGATTCCTGCAAGTATCTTCATATTGTAGTCATAGAAAATGAGATAGGCAAACCATGATATAACAGTGGGCACAAAACTCCACATATTCCCCACAGAAGTACAACCGTTTTAACTATAAAAGTTGCCTGTCTTCGTCCGATGCAACTCCTTCAGATATAACCAAAACAATCCAGTGGACACGCCCAACTAAAATGCTTAGATTTGACAGGTTGAGAAAGACCTCTCCTATAAAACATATTTCTTAAGAGTATTAATGAACTAATGGATAGGACGAACGAATTAACGAACTTGATGAATGACTTCCACCAGATTGAACCAGAATGAAATTGCCTGCTACAGTGCTACTGGAAAGAAAATTGACAAAGAAACCTCCAGGGTATAAACCGGACACTGCCAACACTGCACAGTGGCACAGCCAAAGTAATGTCAAAACCCACATGGCAAAACATATTCTTTAAAGGATGGCTATTCTGTTCATGAAAGTTCTAATGGAAATATTGTCATAGAGCAAACTCTAGACTACGTTTATGAAATCTATAATCTGGTATTTTTGTTTGGGCTTTTTTATCTAACAGAACAACAGAAATAATTGCACCCTGAGTACTACACAACTTCATGGTATATTACAATTGACTTCCTCTAATGACCAGGTGCACTGAGCACCGATTGCATTATAAAGACATGGGCAGTGTTCATCTCTTAAAACAGTAATTACATGCAGCACCTATCTGCATCATAATTAGTACAAGATTCATGACAAGAGAAAAACAGAAAGCATACAGTTGTTCTGGGAGATTCCTGTATCTTCAAAATTTAAGCATCTCCAGAAATCCTCGTGCACACTAGCTATTTGCCACTGCTTGCATGTTGCACCAGCTTTACATAAATCTTTTAGGCTCAGAAAGGAGAAGACCTGTAACCATGGTTGAAAACTTCAACAAAGACTGATTGGACTAAAAGAAACAAGCAAACAACAAAGAAATTACAAAAGCCTACCAGATGTAACAGATCTTCAGTAAGATCCATTCTGATCTCTATATCTTCAGCTTTGCTGGCACTGGGCTCGTTTTCATCATCATCCCCACCGGCATTAGAGTTCATTGACATTTTACCCCCACCATCATCCTGATCTCTACATTTCCAACTGCTTCCAGTATCAGAAGGGAATAGTGAAGCCTGAGAATTGACGTGATCACCAGAGGCAGGTGGGACAGATGCTTCATTACCAGAGGAGGTATGGTGCATTGTCCTGTAATAGAAAAGTTGTAAAAAGTTAAAGCCACTCAGATATAAAAGTAAAATGTTGCTACTCAGATTACTTAGTGTGCAGTACAGGATACAACCTTGACTCCACAAAGACACAATGCAAACGTCTAAGACCTATTTGAAAATGCCAGTGTAACCTCCGCACACCTATTCATCTTAATAGCATGCATCTGTTGTCTTGTCTTGCACCAAGCAAGATACTTCCCAAGAGGTCACCCATTTGCAAAGCATGAGAACATCATAATGACTCCCATACCCATATCTGACACGTGTCCATACACTTCATGAACAATCAGTAGTCACATATACAACACACGTAACCATGTCCGCGCAAAAACACTGACATTTCAGGTTCAATCCACTAGTAGACACTGTTTCTCTAGCTAGATCATAAGCGTTTTTTTAATTAGACTGTAAATCACTAAAGAACTAATAAATTAAATAATCTTCAGAATACATAGCATTGCTATTGTGAGCTTTAGGGTACTCCCTACAGTCAAAGAGTTTTAAAAAATTATAAATTAGCGTTGCTATTGATATGTGATTCCTTAGACATTATATTATTCCTTAGATGTTATCTTTCATGTATATTATATAATATTACACGTAATAGCCATGTCCACACCCTACTTCTTTACAAACTCTTCGTCTCCCATCTATCTTGCAGTCGTAGTTATACCTAAACGGTCACCCATCATAGGAGCTATTATATATTGGAAGGCCCAGCTACCATCTACCAAATGTGGTAGTGTGGTATATTCACATTTTCTACATACTCCACGCATCAATGCAGACACGGGACAGGACAAGATATGCAGCAATGCAGCTATGCAGATATGAAGATTATAAAGATCCCTATGATACATGTCGCGTTCATGGCTACAAATAATATCATATACACAGAGAGACGCGTCAATTTGGTTTTATGCCCGGGAGGTCAACTATGGAGCCCATACATATTTTGAGAAGGCTGATGGGGAAATACAAGGGAAAAAGAAAAGATCTACACGGTTTTCATTGACCTGGAAAAAACTTATGATAAGTACCTAGGGAGCTAATGTGGTAGGTTTTAGAAAAGAAACACGTATCTAGTTTATATATTGGTGTGATTAAAGATATGTATGATAGACTACCAACTAAAGTAAGAACTACTGAAGGAAAATTTAAGTCATTTGCTATAACCATAAGTTTACATCAAAGGTCAGCCTTAAACCCTTATCTTTTTGCTTTAGTTATGGACCAACTTACTAGACATATTCAGGATGAAGTTATTTGATGATGATATAGTATTAGTTGACGAGACTAGAACAGGTATAATTTCTAAAGTAGAAATATGGAGGCAAGCTCTTGAAACTAAAGGTTTTAAAATTAGTAGAACAAAAACAGAATACATTGAATGCATTTTTAGTAAAATTAAAAGAAGAAAAGAACCTATAATACATAGTGATGGCCAAGAAATAGCTAGAAGTAATCAATTTCTTTATTTAGGATCAATCATTCGGCATGATAGTGGGATTGAGGAAGATGTTGTCAATCAAATCAAATCGAGAGGATTAAAATGGAGGAGTGCTGTGTGAACGTAGAATAAACATGAGAAAGAAAAATTTTATAGGATAGTTATAAGACGAATAATGTTTTATGGTTCGGAATGTTGGGCAATTATAAAACATGTGCAAAAAAATGAGTGTAGCAGAAATGAGAATGTTGCGATAGTCTAGTGGATATACACTAAATGATAAGATAAGAAATGAATGCATCCGTAGTAAATTAGAGGTTGCTCCTATTGAGGATAAAATGAGAGAGAATCAATTAAGGTGGTATGGTGATGTACAACGTAGACCTTTTAGTGCACCGATTAGGAAAAGTGACGATATTATAGTTAATGGAGCAAAGAGATCTAGAAATAGATCTAAAAGAACTTGGTTGGAAGCAATCAATAAAGATATGATTATGCTTAAGTTAACAGAGGAGATGACCCATAATAGAGCGGAATGAAAAAATATGATTCATGTAGCCGACCCAAAGTATTTGAGATAGAGGCTTTGTTGTTGTCGTTGTACACACAGAGACACGCGTGCAGCCACACATGCCGCCGTCAAGTCAAAGTTCATAATAACACATCAAAATATTACATATAAACCATAAATCCCTGATCGTATAAACCATGAAAAATAAATGGCATCCAACCTATATTTATTGTCTCAAAGATAGTTCAAGGTTGCAAACTAGCATCTTGCACGTGCCTTTGTGTATATGTGTCTCAGATATGGATATGTGCCCATGAGATATAGCTAATCCCCACCCCGTTTAGAAAGTGACAACCATATAAATATAGCTATAGCTAACCCCCCCCCACCCCACCCCCACCCTATTAGACTATGACATCATGCAATGCTTCACCAAGCACGTGAGATTCAACAGACTGTCACATGACTTCTCTAAAGGGTGACATAAATTAACAAGGTGTCCCCCACCAAACAAATTTAAGAGCCAATTGAAGATCTGATACTTTTTCAACATAGTTTTAGGTTCCATATGACATTTAGTTAAACATGATCTGACCAATATTATAACATGATACCATTCATCACACCTTAAGCCAGGAACTTCTTGGAAGACCGTCCTGAAATTACTCTCTGCTGCAGCAGGCTTAACTATGTAGCTATTCAGGTTAAAACATCCTAGCTACAATTAATTCTTGTTCGGAATTATTGTACACGAGAGATACCTTATATCTCACGTCTTGTGTGGGATTATTAACTTTATTTTAGTTGTAACATACTAGGCCTATTAAGGATGCTGGCACCTCATTCAGTCAAATATTTCATGAGACCACGTGAGGTTCTAAAAATGGCCACATGATTCAAAAGGTGGCTGTCAGGAATTCAAGATGTGGCTCCTATCATCTTCTTATGTTGTGTGGCTCTTTACTTCGCTCATAACTTAGTTCCATGTCATACAATTGGTGGTAGTTCATGATACCATCTTTATCCGAGTAACATGTTAAATATTAAGCTAAATACGGCATAAAGAATTTAGGCATTTAACATTCCGGTCAAATTACAGATGCTCGCTTATAGGAATTTGCTAGAATGATCAACATAATTCCATAATGGGCTTAAACAAATGAGAAGTTTTCATGTTTAATGCGAATTAACAGGGTGTGTGCACAGGAGAGAGAGTATGACCAGAAACATGCAAAATAGAGGTTTTGTGGAGAGGAAGGCGGATTTTACATAATTTTAACTTGAGAATGACCATCGATGATTCCCGAAAATACTAATGAGAATATGTGCAATTTATACCGATCTAATGTTCTAGGTGATCTCTCTTCAGAATCATTCATTTCTGTGACTAAAGACGTGTCACAGAAATCCCATCTTAAAGAGCAAAAGTGTAATCACACTTCTCCATATCTTAAAGTATCTACTAGAGGCCCAATTGACAAACTTAACATTTGGTTGCATGTTGCTGAAAAAGTAATGCAAATCGAAATGCACAACTCTAATTAAGGTAGTTGAAGAAGAAATAATTTGTTTGATAACTTCCTTTTCCAATTCCAACTACAGAAATAATTATCTAAAATATTAATTAGTTAATTAACTTTCCTTACATTTTCCAAATGAAAAACACTAAAAGGACAGTTAAGCTAAACAGTTAAACCTACCAAAATTACTAATGCCATCTTTTTCAGTGTGATTCCTAAAAGACCAGCAGGAGTTCTAACTAAACCTTTGACCCTGCATTTTGTTTCAACTATGCATGAAGATCCAAAAACAAGTAAACACACTAACCTGCGGTCTGTCTTGTGAGTGGAGCCCCATGGAACTAAACTACAAGCAAAAAGCATGGATACTTATAATATGAAGCTATACCCAGCGTCCAGCGCTCCAACAACCAACAATTCCTTGGACACTCCTTTAATATGTGCACCGCATAGCCAAATTTGCAAAAAATAGGATACGGGGATACGTCGTATATGTACATACTGGAACCAATAATTTATATGACATCAATATTGTTTTTTCATTCACACTGTTATGTAAACTAAAATCTCAATAACAATTTTATGTGTTTTTTCTTGTGTAGATTATAAATTGAAAACCCACTTGCTTTTTAACTAGATACCCAAAGGCCCCTTTAAAATCATACTAATCAACTGAGTTTGAGCTGAAATGAATCTGAAATGAGTTCAACAAGGTGCAAAAGTTTGAGGTGAAGTGTGAAAGATATGTCCAAGAAGTGTATCTCAAGTGTCTTAAACTGAAACATGTATTTTATAATAAAGCATATGTCTTAAACACTGCATATATACATTCAAGAAGTGTCCAAGGAGAGCCGAAAAGGGATATGGAAAATATCGGACACAGATACGGGAGCCTAGATTAAGTGTCCGTGTAACCAAGGGCATTACCACACATGTAATCATTACAAAACTCTGCATTTAGAATAATTGCTTAAACCCTTGAACGTATGGCCAGATGTATGTATGCATATACGTAAACTTTTGCTATATAAACTGTAATACACAAATAGATATATTCTAATATCATGTTATGTGATGTTTGCGTCCTAAATTTTGAAGAATTTGAGGCCATGTGTCCATGCTGCTAAGAACTAAATAAACCATAGAGCTGGCAAAATAGAGGGAATATACCCAAGGAACTAAACCTCTAAAGAACAGACAAAAATATGAGAAACAGACATGGGGCTTGGCTTGTCAATGCAACACAATATATAGCAAATCTCACTTAGACAGAAATATATTGCATACACAAAATATATGCAAGGCCAGAAATCAAAAGATTTCAAAACTATACATACAGATAAACCATACATTGATTAAAGTAATAAGCTAAAAACTCACGGCGTGAAGCCAAGAACTTTTGGTCTCTTATAATCTCTACACCCGTCCAAACCCGAATCCGCATGTTTGATACCAGCCTCAAGACTTGTTTGTAACACATTTCTCAGCTCGCTCCTGCACATGAATGTCTCAACTAGACTCGAGCTTCCAACGGTCAGATCAAATGAACCAAGCCATCTCTCCATACTCCTCGCAGGATTTGAAGGCGATCCTGCAACTGAACCCCACCTTCCCAATGATAACTCTAGTTCCAAGCTTTCAGCTTCGTCCTCCGACACCTCTTTCTCTTCTTCAACTTCAGTATCAACATCCACCATTTCCTTCTGATGACATTTTGCGGCCATGTCAAATCCTAAACCCGGAGGGGAGAACAGATAATTCCAATACTGCCCTAATGTCAAGAACAATTCGTTAAAAGATGCGTAATTTTAAGAGTCTAAAATCTCAATCTGATCTAACAATTTTAGGAAATTTAAAGAAAATGGTAAGAAATTCACGACTACACAAATCCCACGCTCTTGCCATAAATTTTACATCATCTCCACAACAGGCTCTATAAATTTACAAACTCACAACATTACCATCCCCATCCTGGGTCTATAAATTTGAAACCCAAAAAAGGCTACCATTTTATCATTGCATAACACCCCTCCATCCAAACCCTAGAATCACGAACGGAAACTATAAAAGAGCAATTATACGCGAAAAGCTACCATCTTTTTCAACCACAACGAATCCCTCTGCTAATTCTGAAGGACAAAGGCGCGATCTTTAACTGTTTGCTTATCAAACTAGGAACAATATTGGTGTGAATTTCGAAAAGATCTTCATCCTCTTCCTCTTCCGACCTCGAGATCGAACTGCAAGGAACAAATTCGGAGGGTATTTGACGAATTATCAAGTTTTTCACTTCCAGAGATCTCAAAATTTTCGATACGGAGAAGGGTAAGAAGAGAGAAATTGGGAGATTTTGGGAAGAAATGGGAAGTCGTACGTATGAATGAACTATGGCTCATACTAGAAATAAAGGAATAATTCTAGGGACAGAGAATAAATAGCACCTATTTTCACCCGGTCACTATATACGGGACCCACATTTAGTCTGATGTAGATGAATTCTATGCGGGAAATTTAAACGTCGTTGATTTATCGTTCAACGGAGGATGGAGAAAAGCGTTTAAAACTAATCTGAAAAATGAGTTTGCAAAAAAAAATGGCTTTTTTATGAAACTGCCGACAAGCGGGCCCGATAGGGAGCGCGTGGTCTTTAAGATTTGCTGTTTATGTCTGAAAAACAAACAGCGAAACAGAGGGAGCATTTATTCTGTTTTAGATCCGAGAATTCCGAATCCCCGATCTTAGTGCGGGTCGGGTCTTTGACCCAGCGAAAAGATGTTGACCGATTAGGCTCAAGCATGTTTGTCACCTCACTTATTTCTACTTAAGAGGGGTTAGTCACCTAGAACTTTTTAAGTAGAACTGGAATAATTGGTAAAGTGGGATAATATTTTGACACTGGGGTAATTTAGTGGAACAATGGTAGGTAATTTTTAAAGTGGGATAATTTGGTAGGATAATTTGGTGGGATAATGATGGATACTATTATGAAGTTGCATAATTTGGTAGGATAATTTGGTGGGGGTAATGGTGGGTATAAATTACTATTGTTAATAATTGTATATTAAAAATAATATAATATTGATAAGCAAATTCTAGTAGTAACTATAAAATATAATGCAATAAAGCATCACTATTCATCTCAAATAATAAAATAATTTATAAATAAATAAAAATCTAAATCCCTAGAGTGACTTGACTTCCATCATCCCACATGGCTTCTATCATCCCACATGATATCTGCTATAGAATTTCTCCAAGCTCCTACAGCTGCTCGTTGAGTCTGTAACTCGTCTTCTTTATCGGAGTCATCGTCTGCATCAGCAACATTTCGTGGAGCTTCTATCGGTGGATCATAAATGTCGAAGTTCAAATCTCATAACATCACAAAGAAAGAAAAATAAGTATTTTTTAGCCATTAACCCTTTGGACCAATCTCATCATGATCGCTGAAACCAAATCAGCAAATAAATGAAATGTACACAGGAATCATCCATGACCGCTAAACAGATGATCGACAGATGAACTATAAATATCCCAATCAATTTACTGAGCCGATTTAATAATAATAGATATCACCATTAACCATTCAACATCTAATCATCAATGTGATCGCAAAGTTGCTTTCTAACTTATAAAAAAAACATAAATAGCCCGCATATCTTTAGCACTAACCCACCAACACTATATTCTTAACCTAAACCACTGTTGTGGAGAGAAAACTTAGATCAAACAAATAATAATAAAGTAATTTAACGTCAAAAAGCTATCAATAAAGTAATACATCTTGAAGATAATAATAAAAGATCTAATCATCACAAAAACAAAGTAAAGACAGAAAAATGAACGGATGATTGACTTCATGGCAGAGAAATTTTCTAGGCGGAGAAACTAACCAAGAGGGAGGGAGGCGACGTTTCACTTTTTTTCCCCAATTGTATTCTTTCCAATGTGTGGGATAATTTGAGAGAGGAGAACTTATGGTTATATATATAGGTAGTATAATTTGTGGGATAATTATGACCAATTATCCCAATTCTAATTCTAGTAGAATTCTACTTAACTAACGCACCAAAAAAATAATACAGTTCTAGTTCTACAAAAGTTCTACTTGACTAACACTATAAAAAAATATCCCATTTCCTAGTTCTATGTGACTAACACCTTAAAAATTTATCCCACAAATTATCCCAGTTCTAGTTTTAAGTTCTAGATGACTAACCCCCCCTAAGAGT